AGGGGTAGGGGGCACCACCAGGTTTTCTCCCTACCCAGCGTTGGGAGCATCCTGACAGCAGGGAGAGTCACATGACTCGCCCTACCCCCAGTATGTCTCCCACACAGAGTTCCTCACCTCAGTGACCTATCCAAGCACACAGCAGAGTTCCCAAAAGCAGGTGAGACAAACAAGCCACCCATTCATTTCACCCAAAGGACTGAGTGCAACAATAGCTGTTCCCACAGGTCGGGGCTTTCATAGCCTGACGCGGGGCCAGAATGTCCCAACAACACCTGGGTCCAGACCTGGCGGGGGGTTTCTCCCTCCCACATGCCTGTAGGGGCAGCTCAGGAGTCCCGACCTCAGCTCAACCTCCATCCAGGCCTCTCAGGAAGGCCCTTGAGTGTCACTGGTGCCCCCAGCAATGCACACCCATGCCACAAGCATGGGCCTCCTTCCCAAGTGCAGCACATGACCACAGAGTCTCCTCGCTGTGCTGCCGGCCAGTGCACACATGTGAGGCCAAGCTGAAGACTAGCACCATGGGAAAGGGGCCTCGCAGGTTCAGGATGAAGATGCAACACATGGGCTTCTCCCAGCCCACCTGGAAATGAGCTGACGGTGGACATGTGAACACAAGAACAAAATGCATCGAGCACTTCGCTTATCTCTACTAACAGCCACAGCAGGGGCTTTCTATGTGAATTCCCATTCACTCCTCAGACCTTGAACACACACCAGTAAAGACGCCAGCAGAGGCCCTGGCTGCACAGAGCTCCTAGGCCAGCAAAGGAGATAGAAGCTGCCTCTCACACCATTCGTTAACTGTCAATGTAATAAAGGCTGGACAGGGACAGGTGGCATGCATGGGAACAGGGACCATAGGCAGGCTGTGGTCTTTCTGAAGAAGGGACACTTGCTTGAGCTCTGAAGTATACATGAAAACGACCCGTGCAGGGGCTTCCCTGGTGTACAAGGGTACTATGATGCACTGGTGGCACAGTTTGGTACTGGTGGCACAGTGCTATGATGCTATCTGCAGCCACCGCACCAGAAATTCCATCCCCAGCCAGGGAGGTGACCCACATGGCACAGCAGATCTCTCCTGTCTCGCCTGCTGCTCCCCCCAGCAGTGTGTTTCAGTAGATCTGTCTGTTCTTTTTCTCACTCTGTCTCTGGTGAATCTTCTCACCCATCCCTGCCCTCCCGCACCTCTGGCCTGCACCCCAATTCTTGTATGCATAAATAAATAAATCTTAAAAAAAAAAAACCCTTGCAAAGGTGGGCAAGGCTGGCTCAGCAGTGCAGCAGCCAGTGAGAGGGCGAGAGGCCCTTGCCGTAAGAAAAAGCAGGGCCTTGGCCAGGAGCGCGACGGAAATGAGGCGGAGGCGGACGGGGACAAAGGGAAAAGGGGGCGGGTGAGAGGTCACACAGGTGCCAAGACAGAAGGGAACATGGATTTGATCCTGGGAGCTGGGATGCCACGGAAGGTGACAGAGGGTCTTGTCTTGTGCTGGGCATTCAGCATGGCACCCACCTGTTCTGGGCAGGGCTTCTCTAGGTGCAGGCCCCCCCACACCAATCACATGGGCACCACCTGGGAACTTAATAGAATTGCAGCTTTTCCCACCCGTGCCCTCCCCTGCCAGCCCCTGAGTCAGAAACCCTGGAGATGAGACAAAGCTACTTTAACACCTGCTTTTAAAGATTAGAGACTCTCTGGACAGAGGGCACCTGCTGATCTTTTGCAAAAATACTTAGACTTCCAGACAAAGTTAACCTGAAACAATGGGCTAGACCATTACATTTCACAATCCCTCTTCCTTCACCCTCAAGCTCAGAGTGACCCCCCCTACCTCCTTCCTCCTTCTGAAAGGGCTGCCCAGCCCCCCGCCCCTTTAGCCTGCCCCTACTCAGACCCCAACTCCCAGCCCTGCCAAACATCTTCGTTTCCTTTTCCTTTTGTTCCCGTTAATCATTTAATTTGGCATGGCATTCTGGACACAAGTTAGAGGACGGCTAACATGGCAAGCCTTTAAGAGAAAATCTAAAAGTACTGAGAAACATTATGAAAATGAGAGATAAGCATGAAAAATAAGACATCTGGGCAAAGTTTAAAAGGACCAGGCATGCTCAGCCTTGAGCGAATGTCACCATGGGGAGCCGTGGTGACAGTTTCCTAATGCATAAGGAATGCACGCAGGAGAAAGGGATCCGTTTTTCCACTCATCAGCGAGAGCAGAACAAGCAGGGCCGTCTTAGGTTTCAGCCGAGAAAACATCTGTCATGTGTTTGAGCCGTAAGAGAGGAGCCGCCAAGGGGAGCTGCTGAGATCATCCTCGCCTGAGCGACAAGCTCTCGATGAGATCACACTGGCCGGGTCGCTGTCCACCGGGGTCAGCCACATCGGGGCTGCCGGGGCCAGCCGAGTCTCCCTGTCAGCTGGCAGCCTGACTCCTGCCAGGGCGTGTGCCAATTCAGAGCACAATGCGCCTCCCCTGAACACTTCAGCTCCCGTCACCTGGAGACCCAAGTGCAGGCGTCTGTCCCATGGAGAAGCTCACTTACTGCTTTCCGACAGCCAGCTCCCATGTTCCCCGCAGCAGCAGCCAGCGTATCAGTAACAGCTCAGAAATACAGAGCACCTGCTCTGTGCCAGCTGCACCCGCACTCGGGCCGCACCCCCATCACAAGGCCCACTGTACACATGAAGAAACCGGGCAGAGGACATGAGCCGCCATCGGCCCCGGGGCTGCTCATGACCTGACTGAGATTCCAGCCTGGGGCTTCCTGACTTCGGAGGCCACAATCCCTACTGTCAGGAACAAAATTATGTGTACGACACCTGACAAGGAACGGATCCAGCTCTGCTCCCCAAGGCCCTCCAAAGTCAGCAGGACGCAGACCCCTCCCTAAAGTGTAGTAAAGATCCCCCATTCTGTCTCCTCTCTCTACACCCTACCCCACTACTTCTAATCTGTGATTTATTCTTTAATTTTTAAACTTACTTTTTTTAAATTTATTTATTTTTACGAGGTAATTTGGGGGTATCCCCATCAGGTGTTACCACCGTAGTACACTACCACCAACTCACCCATATTCCACCACCACAGACCATTGTGCTTCCACTTACACCCACCCACCCACCCCCCCGTTCTTCAGTCCTATAGTCAGCATCAAAGGTTAAGTTTTTCATTTAAAGAATTATGTATTTGGGCATTCAGAACTGGGGTACAGGCCAGAGGTACAGGGGCAGTGGAGGATTCACCAGAGAAAGAGTGGGGAGCAGAAGAGGCAGACTGAACTACACTGCTGAGGGGAGCAGCAGGCAAGACAGGAGAGGTCTGCCCTGCCAGGTAGGTCACCTCCCTGGCCGGGAATTGAATTCACACTGCAGTGGCTGTGACAGCTTCATAGTGCTGTGCTTTAACTCGTTGTGCCACCAGGAGGGCCCCTCAAGAGTTAGTTTTTCAGCTTGTCTCTAACTGACTATTCCCTTACTTTATATTCCCCATACCAGTGACCACATAAATAACTCCTCACAGCTGCAAGAATGACCCATTTTAACATCTATGCTGGAAGCCCCTCCCCACACTGTCCCATTTACACTGCCCAAGGCTGGCACCTCAGCACCCACCACCAGCCTCTGTGAGCTACCAGGGCTGCTGGCGAGCAAGTGGGCCTCGCTGCACACCCTCCCAACCCCACGTGTCTGCTCTGAGTGCACTTTTATATCCTCCCGGCTGCCATCAGAGACACCGTTGCAGATACTGCACCTGCGACTTCAGATAACTGGGCTCAATGCTGCTCACCCCATCTTCTCTGCCATGCGATTTTCAGTTCATCTGGCCCCCCTCCTTTTGCCTTTTCCTGGAGTCCTGAATTGTCTGAAATAGGTTCTACAGTAGACTTGAAGGAGTCATTCTCCTCAGCCCTGTGACACTGAGCTAGCTCCTGGGCCTCACCCATGCACCTACATCAGACTCCCCTGGGGCTTCATGTGCCCCACGGGTCACAGAAAGGAACAGCTGAGCCACTTCTGACACGGGGTTCAGAACTGGCCACCCACGTTGCCCCCCTCAAACAACCACCAAAAAATAAGGGCATGAGGTCAGTGGCTCGGCCCTGAGTGTAGGCGTCTACAGAGCCACAGCTGCACACTCCAGCGGTCACTGCTTGTAGTCCAGAAGGCTTTCTGCAAAGCAGGGCAGACCCTAGGAAAGGGACTAAAGTAGGATTCCCCTAGTATTCAAACAACTGTGAGCTGACGTCTGGCCTAAAGTCAGGAGAATGGAATTTATTCCTTCTTGATGGGAAAACAGGATTCAAGTCACAAGTTTATATGCACAGGTATCTTAATTTTTCTCCAGCATCACCAAGCTCAATGGAGCTTAAAACAGGCTTTGCCCTCAGGCAAAGAGAAAGAGAGGGTCCAGAGAATGAGAGAGCTGAGCCCTGGGGAGGGGGGCCTTCCAGAATTTGTCTCCCCTGGCTGCTCTTTCCAAACCAATATAGGGGGATATATTCCCAATGTTAGGGGAAGGGGAAGCAGAGAAGTCTCCTGGAAGTCTGATCCAACCCCACAGTTGCACTCCAACCTGTGATGCCAAATGTCACAGCCCAAACAGCCACGTGAGCATCAACGCTCCCCAATAACTCAGCCAAGCCATGAGGCCTTCCCCCACATGAGTCAGCTCCTAGCTGCTCTTCCAGCAGATGTGTTTGTTCTAAACGACCTATTCTCCCGGGGTCATCTTTAAATGGTTCTGTTGCCACACGGTCTATGTTCCACCCACCATAATCAGCAGCACACATCTGGGATGCAGATGGACGGGATCCTGTGGTATGAAGGGGGCAGAAATGTTCCCTGTGAATAGCCAACCGACACTCCCTAGCATCTAATCCGTAATCCTGGCCCCACTACACCCATCACGACTCGAGACGCACAGCTCCTGAAATTGTTACCCACCCCTGGAACAAACAGTAAGACAAATGAAAACCAGCCCTAACTCACATACCTTCATGGCACCCAGAGCTTGGAAAGTCACGGCTAATCTCGTAGGGGTCAGTGACGCCAGCATCGCATTGAATCTTGCACTCTTGTTCTTAATCGGAGAATGGTACTGCCCATCCGGAGCCACAGAACCGAACCTGCGGTGGGGAGAGACAGGAGAAGAGAGAGGCAGAGTTAACAAAAAAGAACGCAGCACCATTAAAACCCAGTCAGGAGGCTCCTGTGTGCACACTTAGAAGTTGCAAGGTTTGTGCGCTCTGCTACCTCCCTCAATAAGACAGAGGAGTTGGGGTGCAGGGGAAGCTGAAAAGGGTTCAGTTCATGAAGAGGAAGAGCAGATTTCCCACCACGACCTGCCTGGGACTCCGGGTGGCCCCTGACAAAGAGAGGAGCGGGGGCCCCCATCATTAAACGAATCAGCCCAGGTGTGCAGGCCAAGTATCAGCGCACCTTCTTGTTATTGAGATAGAATCCACACAGCATAAGCCCCCCCACCTTTATTTAAAGTGAAGAGTTCAATGGCTTTTAGTATATATTCGAGTTGCACAACCATTACCACTATCCTACCCTCCCAAAAAAGAAACTTAATTATTCCCCAGACACTCAGCTACCAGGTCTGGGAAGCATTCAGCACTTCCCACCTCTATGGGTTTGCCTGTTCTGGCCAGTTCACACAGCTGGAATCAGACAATACTTGCCCTTTGAGTCTGCCTTCTCTAAGTGAGCTCACATACTGTTTTCAAGATTCATAGACGTTATACCGTATGTTGGTATTCCACTCCTTTTTATGGAACAGTGATATTCCATTATAGATGAATCATATTTTGGTAATCCATTCAACACCTGAATGTGAGTTGTTCACACTTTTTTGTTTGTTTGTTTTTTGGCTACTATGAATAATTGTGTTGTGAACATTTATATACAAGTTTTTGTGTGAACTTGTTTTTTAAAGATTTATTTGGGCCCTCCCTGGAGGTGCAATGGGTTAAAGCTCAGCACTATGAAGCTATCTGCAGCCACTACAGCATGAGTTCTATCCCCAATCAGGGAACTGACCCACATGGCCCTGCAGACCTCTCCTATCTTGCCCACTGCTTCCCTCAGCAGTGTTCTTCAGTCAATCCACCTGTTCTGGACCCTGCTGTCTCTGGTGAATCCTGTCTCCAACCTCCCCACGCCCCACACACACAAACACACCCCTCTGGCTTGTATGCATAAATAAATAAAAGTCTTTTTTTTTTTAAGATTTATTTTATTTATTTATACATACGAGAACTGGTGTGTAGGCCAGAAGTGCAGGAGAGATAGAGCTAAGAGGATTCACCAGAGACAGAGTGGGGAGCAGAACAGGGGCACTGACTGAGATACACTGCTGAGGGGAGGCGGAGTAGTGAAAGAAAAGGCAGAGAGGTCTGCTGCACCAGGTGGGTTGCAGTGACAGAATAGCTTGAGAGCACTGAGACTTTAACCCCTGCACCACCAGGGAGTTCTTGTGCGAACTTACATTTTCTGGACAGTGTTTTTGTAATACACAGAAGCAGAATGTCTAGATCATATAAAAAAGTTTAAGTACTTGAAGAACTGACAAATTCTTTTTTAAATCAGCAACAAGATTTTACATTCCCATTAGTAACAAATGAGGATTCCAATTTCTCCACATTTTCATCAACACTGTTATCCTCTCTTTTATTCTAGCCATCCTAGTGGGTGCAAAGTAATATTCCTCCATCATTTAAATTTTCTTTTCATTTTCCTTGAGTCACAATTTTTTGCATTTTAATGAAGTCCGATTTGTCTTTTTGCTTTGGTGCCTGTACTTTTGCTATCTCATCTAATATCACTGCTGATGCCAAAGTCACAAAGACTTACAACTGTGCTTTCTTCTTAAGCATTTATAATCATAGTTCTTACACTTAGATCTGAGATCCATTTTGAGTTAATGTCCATGTATGATATGAAGTAAAGATCCAACTTCTTACTTTTGCATCTCCAAGCCCACTTGTTCTAGCACCATTTGTAAAAAAGACAAAGTTTCACCCATTAAATTGTCTTATCATCCTTGTTGATGACCATACTTACGTAAGAATTTATTTCTAGACTCTCCAGTCCATTCTATGGTCCATACCTCTACCCTCTGCCAATAACAAATGTCTTGACTACTACAGATTTGTAGTCAGTTTTCAAATCAAAAGTGAATTCTATTTTGTTCTTCTTTAACAAGACTGTTTCAGTTACTTTGAGTAGCTTGCATTTCCATATGAATTTTAAAATCAATGTCTCAATCTCTGCAGAATTTTGAGACATTGCATTGAATCTGTGCATCTGTTTACTGGCCCATTTAAAAAAAAAGTTTATATATGCATGCAGAACTGGGGTAGAGGACAGAGGTGCAGGAGCGGCGAGAGGATTCACCAGAGAAAGATTGGGGAACAGAACAGGCAGAATGATGAAGTACACTGCTGAGGGGAGCAGCAGGCGAGACAGGAGAAGTCTGCCGTACAATGTGGGTCACCCCCCTGGCCAGGGATCGAACTTGTGCAGAAGTGGCTGGCCCATTTTTGATCAAGGGATGAAACAACTTCTCAAAAGCTAGACTCCACCCTCAAAGCATCTGTGTTGCCACTGCTGTTCTCTAGCACCTGAGGTGGTGAGGACAGCTTTAATAACAATTGAATGACTTTAAAATCAAAACCTTCCTATCAAGAAACCCTCCAAACCCATGTCCTCATATCTTCTATATATCATGTAGCTCACTATCATTTTCCTTCCTGGTTGAATCTGACTTTCTAATCTCCAGTGCATTGGAGGGATGCTAAGCCAGTGGGCCCAGCTTCTGAGAGGATTGACCAGGCTGCTAAGATCTCATTAGGGCAGAGGAAATGCACATCTCTGCCTCTCTTCCATCTCCCACATCTCCCAGAATGGAGTGAGGCTGATAAATGACCGGGAAATATGCAGACACCTCTGGGGAAGGTTGGTGGTACTCAGACCTGCTGTCTTGGACACTGGGAGTCCCTAAGGGAGCCTCAGGGCATCACCACCTACCAGGATAACGACAAAATTGCTTTGCTGTTCCCATTTTATTTCCTGCCAACTCACAGGAGGGGTAAGTTAGCAAACAGAATGTGGTCCATTTTTACTTTGTTTCCCACACATTTTTCTTAAACTTTTGGCATCCACATTTCACTGCTGGCAAGGACTGGCAAGCAACTAAAAGGCATAAAGTGTTAAAAGAAAATTCTGCAGGAAAGCGCAAAGACAGCTGATTATATATAGCCTGATTGCTTGCTTTTTCACAGATTAAAATGTGACTGTGGTTCAGGACTTTTATTGGAGACATGAAATACTGCTGAGAAAATTAAAGGTAATTGGTGTTTCTTAGCCTCTGCAAAGAACTCCTATCCCCAGAATGCTCCAGAAGAAGCAACCTTCGTCTCACTGTTTAACCTGCCTTGACCTCACAGAGGAATGCTGGGAAATGATACTGAGCGCCTCTGACACTATCTGTGCAAGTAGTACTGGTTATAACAGCCTTCATCCTAAACGGTGGCCCCTTATCTCCTGACACCACAAAGGAGGCAATAACACCACAGTCATTGGTTTATAGTAGCAAACAAAATTTCAAAGGAAACAACCTAAATTCCCAATAATGAGAGACTAATTAAATATAGACCACTTATGTAACGGTCTGCTATGGCAATATTAATAATGCATATATTCCATTGTTGAATAAAATCATTTGATATATTAAGCTAAAATTACATCATAAAAATAGGATTTATAAGTGTTTGAGTAAAATTCAAATGTATCTATCTCAGAGAAAAGTGATCACAGAGAAAAGTGTAGTGGTGTCTACAATGAGGTGGAATGAATATATCTGAGTGATAGCATTTGGGCCATTTTAATTTTTTTCTGTTTGCTTATCTGCATTTTCCAATAAGTTGTCAATATCTGTGTAGAAATGGTTAGGAAAAGACAACCTGGTCATGCAGCCCAAGAGATCCAAGACAGACCTGGGCTGGGAAAGCCATGAGATCATACACACAGGAAATCTGACTTAAAGAGACAAGTACTCACTTATCCAGCAGGTTCTCCCTTGGAATCCGGACCTTGTCAAATATTAAAATTCCATTATCCACACCATGCAGACCTAGAGAAAGAGAAATGAAATGGAGCTGCAGGGGGCAAATCTGTGCTAACACCAGAAATATGGCCCCTGCTACTTCCCAGGTCTGCCTCCACTAGAAAGCAAAGTCCTTGCTGTACTTCCAGGATGGCTGATACTTCTCTATTTGGCCTGAAAGTGTGGGAGCAGGGCATGCTGCTTGTTTGTTTCCTCGAAATGCCGTGACTTCTGTGTAGCCTGCATGTTCAGGGCTCAGATGGGGCCTTCAGAAAAGACATATCTGCCTGGCCAAGCAGTTCCTGGGACCAGAGAGTTCTAGGCAGTGGGAAGGAAGTCAAGCTAGACATAGAGAAGGCAGAAAAGTTGGTTACTCTTTGAATAATGTAGAACTCAAACTCCTCCTCCCTCCCAGTACTTATTCCCAGGACAAGGATGAATTTTTCAAGGCAAATGCCTAAAAGACAAGTGAAAATGGCCACAAGGACAGCAGTGAGGAATTGAGCTGGCTCATGCCCCAGAGGGTTCCTGAAATCTGCCAGACCCGGTTCCTATGACACCTATCAGAGTTTGGGGTCTACTTTCTTGTTCGCCTCACACTTGGGGAGATTTAATCTGAGGGGAAAGACCTTTATTTACCATGTGTCTTTATTTAGATCATCACCCCTTGACAAGGACACACTTGCATTTCGGAGCTTACAAGGAAACCAAAGAGCTTTCTGAAGTTGCCAGTGTTTTAAATGTCTGGCGCCACTTCACAAGAGCTGTGCCCACCTCTCTGCTTCAGCCGCACTTGACATGCAAGGTGCTCTCAAGCAGCTGGGGCCTGGGAAGACCTGAGAGCCATATTAAACACTCACCAAGCCACCTGCAGCCAGGGCACTAGTCCTCCACCCAGCCATCACCTTCCCCTTCTTGCCCTGCTCTTCTTTTTTTTTTTTTTCCTTCCTTCTTCCACCTGTTTCTTTGGCTTGGCTTGGCTTTACTTTGACTGGGGATCATAGGTAGAACCTTCCGGTATGACCTGCTCCTAGCCAGTTTATGGGTTAAATTGTGTCACCCCAAAATTCATACACTGAATCCCTGTTCCCTAATGCTTGTGAATGTGACTTTAATTGAAGATAGGATCTTTATAGGGGTAATCAAACAAATAAGGACATGAGTGTGGACCCTAATCCAATGAGAAGTATCCTTATAAAAGGGGGATATTATGGGCACAGACATGCAGACAGGGAGACAGCCACACATGCATGAAGGCGGTTACCTACAAGCTAGTGTGTGAGGCTTGAACAGATCCTTCCTCACGGCCCTCACAATGAGCCCACCCTGCTGACACTTTGTTCGTGGACCTCCAGGACTGAGACAACAAATTTGCTGTTTAAGCCAGTCTGGGCTACCACAGCTCTAATAAGCCAGCACACTGATTCCACCCTTCAAACTCATCAAGGGCCTCATGGATACAAACACCAGGCTGATGCAAGGGAGAGCACCTCTATCTGCCCCCTGAGAGCCCTCAGTTCAAGAGGAGAAGGGGGAGTAAACAACAGAGGGCAAAACCGCCTCATTGCTAGGAAATACAAGAAGCTGGGAGGAAAGAAGGCCAACGCATGTTTGTAAAGGCAATCTGCAACATTCTCTAACAGTTCTGTATAAAAGACGCTAATCAGGCTTTAGAATCAGAGCTGTTCTCTAGAGTTGTTTGCAATGCCTTCACTGCTTTGGCAAGTTGGGTGAGCCTCTCCCTGAGTGGGGAAGAGAGCAGGCTGGAAGTGCAAACCAGGACAGAAGGGTTGCCTGGGGACACACCTTCTTTGTGCATCATATCAATGGCTGTCACTCCTGGGTACAAGTTGCCATTTTCATCCCGGACAGGAACAATGAAACAGTGGGGTCCTGAAGAAGACAAAGAGACATTTACTAAACTCTTTTTTAAAATACGTAATTAAAGCTTTATGCATTCCCTAGAACAGTACAGATTCATTTTGATCCTGAAATATGTTCAGTCCTATGATTGTGCACTGCACATAATAGTGTTAATGTGAAAACATAACAAGAAATTGTATTTGCCATATAGCTTTAGGAGCTAGAGTTAGTACTGAATATTTTTACAGACTGAAAACAACTCTGTAGAGTGCGTTTTCAGGGTTAAGTACTCACTGGAAAAAAGAAATAGTAAAGAGAATTATTCTAGGTGTCTGTCACGACAAACCTTGAGATCTTCCATTAGTGATGAGCTGGGCAAAGACCGCAGCATAGTTTCCATGCATTGCATTCCCGATGTACATCTTCTCAGCATTTGCACACGGTGTGTCGATTACAAACTCCTACACAGAAATAGCAGGTTGACTGGGTGTTTCCCTTCTTATGGCTCATTTCAACTCAAGGCACTGAGTTGCTTCCAAGTTGTGCAGCAGGACACACCCAGGAGCTTTCACAGCAAAGGAGCAGGCAAAACTCATCCAGCTCCACCTTGTGAGGTCAACAACACTGCTCACCTCCACTGTCATCTCAATTCACACAGAGTTCACCTGCCCAACTCTGGAAATGACTGGAATTAAAGTGCTCTGTCAACAAATAATCCAATCAGGAAAAAAAGTGACAATTTAATGGATAAGAGAGATCTGCCAATGCCTTCCTGGTTTCTCCTTTACAATTTGAGCTATATGACGGAGCTTGTCGGATTTAATGTATAGTCTTTCTCTAACTATCAACTTCATTCTTTCTAAACTACTTCACCCTGAGGGTTTCACTTTTAAATAATCTAACACCCAAACCCCTAAAATCCCTTGTGACACTGTAACAGGTACAGGTTTCATGGACTCCGCCCCCACTCCAGATACTGGAACTACAAATCCCATCAATACCAAGGAGAAGCACGTTGGGACGTGAGGGCGGAGCTGAGCAGCCAGGTTAGGATAAAACCGGACATGTGAGCTCTGGGGTTCCCTTGGCCTGGTGGTCCGCAGCTGGTCATTTGGCTTTCGATCGGTTGTCAGCATGCTGGTGGTGTCCAAGTCGGCAGAACCAGTAGGACATTCTAGTCAACTTGTATTTCTCTCCCTCTTTCCCTGGGTTGTTCCTTTACCTTTCTCCTTGTAAATAAATCCATTATTGAACCTTTTTGTGTGTGTCCACAGTGTGATTGAATCTTAAGCGCAGGGGTGAGGACCCACAGACAGGCAACCCAATTCACATTGGGGTGCTCTGTAACAATATGTTTTCAGCTCTCCACATACCACTCACTTCTCAACACCCCACCTGTGAGGGGTCCAACAATGATCTTCAGCCCCTAGTAACATAAGCCCACATCTGTCTGCTAGATATTCCCCTTCTGGACAAATCACTGGGTTCCTCACACCTTCCACTGCTGCGTGGCCCTTAAAACACCTTCCTCCACGAGTAAGTCTGTTGTTTAAACAGCTCCCAACTAACCACCGACCCAAACTATATGCTTGAACATGAACAAGATTAACAGGTAGCCACCATCACTCCCCCATGGCTTAGAGCCTCAGCTCATAGAACACTGGTTATTCTAAAAAGAAATAACTCATGTAAGCCATTGGATAACTGCATGAGAACCTGCCTCTCCACTTTCCTGATGGATGAATGCAATAATAGAAGATATCCCCCAAAAAAGTTTCATACTTTCAAATCCTTAAACAGTAGCACCAACAAATAATTATCAGTCTTACACGGCATTCCATTTGTCAGCATCATATGACCAAAGGTTCTGGTTCAAAATAGCTGGAAACTGACACTGGTCAGGGTTTCTGTTTTTCAGCCTCTGCTCAAGCCTGGGTCTGCATTTTCTTCCCTCTGGAACAGAAGTGCTCCCCTTTTCTATTCAGTTCTCCCTAATCCTGCTCACCACGTGTGTTCCCCTTAGACCTCTGGTCATGGAGGGAGTGGCTAAAACTGCCAGCACTGAAAGCAGAGCACGAGGGAGAGGCCAGGGAGTGCAGAGGAGTGGGCAGAAGAACAGAACCACTAATGTAATGAGAGCTGACATTATCGAAGATGTGGCTGAGCTAAACCAACAAGCTATTGATCACGTAAAGATTATTTCAGATACCAGATTTTAAAGTGTATGGACTCTACTTTGCTGCTGGCCAAGAAATACAGTGCTGGAGCCTAAGAAAACATTCTCTGACATATGTTTGCACAGGGAAACTTAACATGTGCAAGAGCTTTTGTAAATGGACAAGTGGAATCTTTTTTAAGAGTAGTCTCTGGAGACTGCCCTTGTCTTATCAGCTCAGCCAGGACTTCTCAAAGAAAGGAGTTATTTGAGGCTAAGGTGCAATAGAAAAACAACAACAACAACAAAATAACCCATGTGACTAGGGGATGCTTATAACCTCAAGGGAAGGAAGGAAAGTAACAGAGAAACATCGGTCTGGCAGCAGAGATGTAGTGGAGCAGGGAAAAGACAGGAGACCCTCGTCTCTGTAAACATCTGATACACTCTGGGAAAGGAGGCTTGTCACTTCTGGCAAAAACACTTGATTTGGAAAGTTTGCATCAGCCAAAATGCTGGCATTAAAGCTGGATCTAAATAATGCACACCATGTGTGTCGGTTCCTATTATAATTATTTGTTGAAGGCCAGCAAAACGGTCAGGGCTGTAAGCACTCAAAAAAGATGGCTTTGGCCAGAGAGCTCTTAGCCTCATTTATTTTTGCTATTTAACAAAGTGTGAAAATAGAACTCTCTCCTACCTCTCACTCTCCATACCACTACCAAAGCCACCCTCCAAAAATTAAGTAAAACAACTAACCCACAGGAATGAATAACTAAAGAACGTAAGCGATTAAAACAGTCCTTGAGGGAAAGAGGGCTCATTTGATATGCTCAACATTTTAGCAGGGAAATGAAGGGGAAAACACAGAAACCAATGAAGGAGAAATCCATCCCTGCTATGTCAGTCCTCTGCGGCTGAGCTTACGACAGGCTCGTTCTCTCTGTCACCCCCATGGGACGCAGAGCGTTCACTAGAGTCTCCTCATCATTATGACTTCAACTTTGCAACTCCCCAGCAGAAAGTGCCAGCTGCTGAGGCTTACCAGGAAGCTAAATCACTTATGCTGTTTGGGGAAAATGGGCCCAACACAGGGAAATGATTTGGGGAGGAGGAGAGGGGAGGAATAATTATAAAGAGAAACAAATAAACAAGAACTGCGCATGATGTTTCTTTCCTTTCAAGACAGCAAGGTGACCACCATATCATAGCTTAGGGAGAAAAAAACTGGCCCACCAAAAGATGTCCAAAAGACCCAAATGATGTCCATCCACATCCATCAGTGAATAAGGCTAAGCTGTTTAGGGCAAGCACTCTTGAACTTAAGACCCTCTCATTAACTGCATGGTCAGAGTGGGTAAGCCCACTGTGAGCCTCAGACTCCCCACTAAAATAGAGGTGATAACATCTCCCTAAAAGATTATAGAACATTCAACACAATGTTACACGCCAAGGGCTTAGCCTGTACACAAGTGCTCAGTGAACGGTAGTGGTTTCTGTGATGCTTATGAGATTGTTTTTGTAAGGAAACACGGGCTCCTACGCAGAGGCATGCACATGGAGCCCGGCACATAGCGAGCACTTGATAAGTGGCAGTCCTTATTCTTGTTCTTACCATGACCCTGGACGTCACAGGCTACTAGTGAGCTATCCTCGGGGCTAGAGGAAAGGCAGGACTCAACCAGTACAGCCCTCACCCTCACCTGTCTTCTAGACACTGACCCCCTCCTACTGGCAGGGAAACTTGCTAACAAAAATCCAGATTCTACAGGACAAACTTGGCAAAAATGAACAATAAAATGAATGACCAGATACATTCACAGCGGCACTCACACACACACTTGCACACTCGTGTTTACAAAATGGCTTTCAAGAAAGAACTTCACATTTTATTTATTCCTTTGTAGTTCTTAGGACCACTGAAGAGCAAGCAAGAGACTATGAAGGAGAAACATCTAGAAGGGAGTAGGAGTCAAAGTTGATGGGGCTCCTACTGCAGGCTGTGACCCATTAGTGGGCAGTGAGATTCTGTTCAAGTATCTCCACCAAGATTTTAATTAATTTTAATTAATGGGAATGGAAGGGAAACTATTGGAGTTCCTCACATATATCGTAAAGGTAGTAAAAGACCTCTGTGAAATTTCTGGTTTGGTAGTCATGTAATGGCAGCACAGTGTCGGCTGGTGTAAGACTGATGAAGCCAAGCATGTGTCCACCTCCACTCAAACACTTCGACCTTTCTTCTGAACCTAAGCACTTCTGGTCAGAGGGTGTGAAGCTGGACTTGAAGAGGGGAGCCTGGTTCTGCCAGTGTCCTGACCCACAAAGGATGGAAAGAATCCTTACCTGTGCAGAAAGATCAAAGGTGGCCTCTGTCTGGATCCCTCTCACGTTACTCCCATGGCCCCTCTCTGTCATCGCAAACATCCCAGTGAATTTCTGCTCCTAGAATTCACCAGATGTTGGAAGAGAATTAGCTAGTCAGATGGTTGCTCTAACTAGAGATCATTAAGAATGTTGGTGACTTGGCCCTCCCTGGTGGCGCAGCGGGTTAAAGCACTGCACT